CTGCCAGGTTGGGGAAGGGGGTGGGGGGCGTAGGCCACCATCTTTGGGGAAGCCTGCGACCCAGATGGAGGGGTGCTGGTGCTGTGCTTAGATCGACCACTCCGCCGTGTCCTTGAGCTCTAACGGGATCAGCTCTGGAGGGGGTCGGTAAAGGGGGTGACCGCAACGGTGGTCCCCTGCAGCACGAAGGGGGTAAGTGGTGACACAGCTGCGGAGGGTGTTGTCATTTCACGTTGTGTCCCCTGCTAGCGCTGATGCTGTTCTTCCTTCTCCCTTCCCCTCCCTAGCCCTGCACTCTTACCTCAGCCAAGTCTCTAGCTCAGGTGCCTTGTTCTCTAAGGAAGAGCCAGAGAGTCCCTTAGCACCGCTAGTGTTCCCAGCAGGGAGCTATACAAAGTTGGTGTTTGTAGGCGAAAGAGTCTCCGGCAATAAAGCACAATCTTCTAAGAGGAAGCAGACAGCACAAGAAAGCAGACGGAATAGCCCATCAGGATGCTTCTTTATTTTTTACCATGAGGGTGGTGAGACACTGGAGCAGGTTGCCCAGAGAAGTCGTGGGTGCCCCATCACTGGAAGTGTTCAAGGTCAGGTTGGACAGGTCTTTGAGCAACCTGATCTAGTGAAAGATGTCCCTGACCATGGCAGGGGGGTTGGACTAGATGATCTTTGAAGGTCCCTTCCATCCCAAACTGTGCTGTAATTCTATGCACTGTGAAGCGTGTTTATCATTCAAACTTAAAAGTACTTCTGGAAAAATAAGGCCGTGCATTACCAGTAGTAGTAAAGCCATTCAATCACAGCACAACACGCAACGAGCATTCATTCTGTTTAGGAGGATGTTTTTGCTGTCAGAGTAATTGTGTTTAATTTGAGCTGTTCTGGTAACTCCTGGACCAGTAGAAACAGTGATAATAATGGGAGTCCTGGTGTTCCCCAGGGCTCAGTTTTGGGGCCGGTCTTGTTCAATATCTTTATCAATGATCTGGATGAGGGGATCGAGTGCACCCTCAGGAAGTTTGCAGACGACACCAAGTTGGGCGGGAGTGTTGATCTGCTCGAGGGTAGGAAGGCTCTGCAGAGGGATCTGGACAGGCTGGATCGATGGGCCGAGGCCAACTGTATGAGATTCAACAAGGCCAA